CTTCCAGCATCACGTTCTCTATCAATCATGTACAACTCAAAAATAATCTTGCATTCAATTCCCAGTGCCAATCACGCACGGTGACAGTGATGAACACAAACCTGAGAGCCCTGAATGGTTCCCAGCATCCGCACCTTCCCCACGCAGGCACTGCACTTCCACTGCTTCTTGTTTAGACTCGTGTCTGTCAAGTTGTGCTGAGCCCTGAAAAGCAAACAAACAGTCAGACGCTGTTTCACGGTGTAATTTAGTGCGTGTTCAACTCCATCAATACAAATGGATGTTTCGTAACAGTTATGTGTCACCTGATGGAAGCACGTTGCGCTCTTAACTCATAGATCCGAAATTATTATCATGATGATTACGTCTTGGAGAGCATCAACAAAGTATTAAGTGCTTTACAGTGATGCTTTAGACCTCAGTGCCCAACGAAGGGCATGGCACGTAGGTGTTGGAGCAGGGAGGGCCATGAAAACCCAACGAGCGAGCCACGAGGCTCCAGCAACCTTCCCTCCCTTGCCCAGCTTTGATCTCGGCTGGCGCCTTCCTGCAGCTCAGCTTTCCCTCAGGAAACTGATTTTCGGGGCTTGTGGGTGGGGATTGGCTGTCTAGAGACAGGCCAATTAAACAGTTTTCTGTACATTTTTTTCATTCTCAGCTGTTGGGTTTCATTACGTTAAAGCGATGGGTGATGTATTTCTCATTTCCTCCTTATTATAAATGCCGTGCCCACATTTGTCGCCGAAATGTACTGTGATAGAAACAGGGATCCAATAAATGTGTTCAAAAGCTATTGCGAAATGGGGAGGAGATATCTAAATGAAACTTCATGTAATAAAAACACTGGAAAAGAAGCTCAGCGTATCAAACCCATCAAACCCCTTTAATTAAAGCTAACTGGTTAATTAAATAAAGGGAACATCCTATATTGTCACTGAGCTGAACACCAGATTGTGTCTGGTCACAGCACCCTTCCGGGCTGTAGAAGACCTTCTCTGCTTGGGCCTTGCTTTTAGTCATCAATTAAAAGAGAAGTTGTTGGGTTTTTTTTCAGTGAAAGGCTTTCCAGCCTTTAATATATTTGGTTTTGAAGCAAATTCAACTAAGGGAAGTTACAGAAAGGCTGCCTCTGCACACAGGGAAGGGTCCTGCTTCCAAAATGCAACCGATCCCTCTGCGTTCCTGCCCAGAGACTCCTCGGGGAAATCTCCTTTAGCAGGAAACAAATATTAGGAAGAACTTCTTTGCTGTGAGGGTGGTGAGAGCCTGGCCCAGGTTGGCCAGAGAAGCTGTGGCTGCTCCATCCCTGGAGGGGTTCAAGGGCAGGCTGGAGGGGGCTTGGAGCAACCTGGTGTGGTGGGAGGTGTCCCTGCCCAGGGCAGGGGGTGGCAACCCAAACCATTCTGGGATTCTATGATTCTATAAATATCTTTCTCATTGTGTCTTGGTGACTTTTAAAACACTTAAGCCTGAAATTATTATCAGGTGAATTGCAGTTTTGCCTGTGCTTATTTTTAAAACAGTGCATATTCCTTTCCATTTTTAATGTAAAGAAGGGAGTTTTTCATTCCCTGATTTCCCTCCAGGGACTGAGAACATGCTTATTATTAAAACAGTGCATATTCCTTTCCATTTCTTAACATAAAAAAGGAGGTTTTGCATTCCCTGATTTCCCTCCAGGGACTGAGAACAAATTCCTGTCCTTGAAATCAATAATGCGAGTTTTTTCCTGACCTGAACAGCACGAGGACTTTATCATTGAAGATAAAGCGGGGCATCCTCCAAGCTCATTTTAAATTTTGTGCTGGAGGGGTCGCCCCGGCCTCTGCACCGACACCAGGCGGAGGCTGTGGAAGGTTCTGCAGCACCAGCAGGAGACCCCAATTCTGTGGGAATCAGTGGGATTCACACTGGGATTTCAGACCAACACCTCTCCTCAGCACTCGGAAGTTCCATCCAGTTCCTACTAAAGTCAACAGACACCTACTTCCTTCTGACACACTTGCTGTGGACAGCATTTTTTGATAAGCAGAAGGATATCGCCGATGAAGCCACCCTTCCATCACATGTTCGTTTATTCCATAGGGCTGGAGGGTTTTTTCTCCCCCTGCTATTACACTTCATGATTGACAACGCGGTTACTCCTCACACGTTCATTTATTCCATAGAGCTGGAGGGGTTTTTCTCCCCCTGCTTTCTCCCCCTACACTTTATGATTGACATTGTGGTTACTCATGAAAGGGTCTTTCCTGAAGGTCCACGGGAAGGAATTAACTTCCCGGGACCAGCTTCTGGTTTTGGTGCCCCCCTGGAATCCCACTGGCAGAAGCAGAGCCTCCCCCAGGCAGAGACAGGGGAGCAAGAAAAGGCAGGGGACATCCTGCGTGTGGGAGGTCTGCACGGAGACTACATGACCTCGGTGCCCCTTCCAGCATCACGTTCTCTATCAATCATGTACAACTCAAAAATAATCTTGCATTCAATTCCCAGTGCCAATCACGCACGGTGACAGTGATGATTTTTTTTTTTTTAAAAAGAGTTATCAATACGGTGATATTTAAAATATCTCCCCTGAATTCCATAAAAAAGCAAGCTTTTAATCTGCATTAACAACCGTGGCTGAAAAAATGTGTGTTACTAAAGTGCCACCTGCTGTACAGAGTAAAACACAGACTCACAGAATCATAGAATTATCCCGGTTGGAAGGGACCTTTCAGATCATCCAGTCCAACCATCAACCTAACTCTGATAAAAACCATCACTAAACCATGTCCCTCAGCACTATGTCAACCCGGCTTTTAAATCCCTCCAGGGATGGTGCCCTCAACCACTTCCCTGGACAGCCCATTCCAAGGCTTAAGAACCTCTTCAGTGGAAAAAATTGTTCCTAATCTCCAATCTGAACCTCCCCTGGGGCAACTTGAGGCTGTTTCCTCTTGTCCCCTCGCCTGTTCCTTGGGAGAAGAGACCGACCCCCCCTGGCTACACCCTCCTTTCAGGGAGTTGGAGAGAGCAATAAGGTCTCCCCTCAGCCTCCTTTTCTCCAGGCTGAACATCCCCAGCTCCCTCAGCCTCTCCTCACAAGACTTGTGCTCCAGACCCCTCAGCAGCTCCGTTGCCCTTCTCTGGACACGCTCCAGCACCTCAGTGTCTTTTTTTGTGGTGAGGGGCCCAAAACTGGACCCAGCCCTCGAGGTGGGGCCTCACCAGTACATGGGAGGAGACAGGAGTGAATCCTCTGGGCAGCACCAGTGGACAGCCTCTGCCTTCTGCAGCTCCTCCATTTGCTTCCTTTTAAAGCCCCGTGCTGACAAGGTGACCAAAGATTTGTTGCCATCTACTGCAGCGTGAAAGACTCCAATTCTCACTTAAGCTGAGATTGATTATTCAGCACCATTGAGGAGTGTCATTTGAAGGAAAAAAAACTGGTAAGGGAGGTGCTTAATTTTGCGCTGCCCGCCTGTGAAGTGCCAGCTCTGGGCCAGGCCGGGGACACAAACTCAAGGTGTTTTAGTCCCGACCCGTGAGTGGTGCAGGAGCCACACAGCCACCATCTCCTCTTCACCCTCTTCCTTCCACTTCTGGAGCAGAGAAAAAAAAACCTGATTTTTCACTGCCCTTGTTCCAAATCCCAGCACAGCCCTTCACCTGGGACCTTCTCCGCCTGCAGGAAAATGCAGGTTTAGTCCTTTCTGATTATCTTGTAAGTGGGAGTTTGTATAAAGCCCTCTGCTGCAGGCAAACCAGCCCACCCAACACATCCCTCCAGTGTCCTCACGCTGCTGTACACTTTTTATAAACAAATAGCAGTAACACTGCCACCTTGCCTCATGGACTGGAGAGCGGATGGGATAAAAACCAGTCCCCTCACCACATCCCAGACGATTTTTCCACAGGGTGTGGGAGGGTAAGGGAACAAAATCTGGCAGGGGAATAACATTTGCTATCAATAAGCAGGTTGCACGTACTTGATTAGGGAAGGCGGGTGAACCCCAGTGCAGTAGATCTTGCCAGGTCGTTACCAGCCCCAAGGGGAAGAGCTGGAGGGGGGGAGAAGAGGAGCTGCCGGCTCCAGGCACTGGCCACAGGCAGGGAATGGTGGCCAACGGCCCGCGGCTGGAGCAGGCCCCAGCAAACCACCAAAGTGGGGTTTAGTCATAATCTAAATAGTACTTTTTTTAAATAATGGATTTACTTGAACACTCCAACGTTAATATTTGTAGCGATGCCCTGCCTTGTTCCCATTTAAAACCCTCTGTACGTTCTGACAGGGATTTCCTTAAGGCCCTCACACTGAGAGACCAGTCTGAACCTTGCGTGCTCTCTGCTCTGTGGAAATGCGGCCTTATTTCATTTCTTCTTCATTACGTATCACAGTTTCTCTGTTTTACTGAAGGTGTACACCCATGAATTGGCCATCAGGCTTTCCTCATGAGGAGCCCAGGCGCTTCTGTCCCTGCAACGGTGGGGTGACAGAGCCAGAGCGCTGGGGTGACAGAGCCAGAGCGACAGCTGGAGGGAAATAAGCTGCCATGAATAAACGGGCTCCTGTACGAGCGGCTGTGGCCCTTCCAAGGCTGCCGCCGGCCCCACACCCGCCCTTTCCCCTCAGGCACAGCCCGCCCATGGCGCCCGCCGCCAGACCCACTGCGCATGCGCCGCCGCCCCCCCCGCCCTCCGCCCCGCTAGGGGGCGCGCGTCCTCGGCG